CACACACACACACACTCACTCACTCACTCAAACGAGCGCCTGTGTATGCACTACAAGAACAGAAAATGTAGTAAATAGTATATTTCGTCTGCCATTCATACAAAGACCCGGCCGTAAAATAATTGCTTTTTTTTCCTCCGATGTTTCAACACTTTCCAGTAACACGCCTAGCGGGATTCGTCACTTCGCACAGCAACAGAAATTAGTCAGTCGTCGTTAACAGCCCTGGCACTCCATATTCTGGCCTAGTGCTCACAGTAATTTTTTGTTTTTAGTTGAGAGTTTAATGCACGTACAACACAATAAGACCATACTATAAGCCTCGATTATAATTTTGCGCTGTAACAAGAGAGTAGAATACAAAGAGAAGGAGAAGAGATGTTTGTTTTAGTTTAAAGAGTTTACGGTTCTTGCAACACGATTGGTTTCTATAAGTGCCGAAGATTAGTCGAGGTGTTACAAGAGAGTAAAATACAAAGTAAGAGGAGAGACACGGATAGTAGATTTCCAGACGCTTGTTTTGGTTAGCGTTTTACGGCACTTGCAACACAATTAAGTCATAAGTGCTGAAGATTACAGATGTTACAAGAAAGTAACAAAAACAAAATCTAAGGAGGACATATACGGACGACACATACACTTGTTTTTGATAGGAAGGAAAAAACAAACCACACCAGACCATTAACGAACCACCAACCCACTAGTAGATGTTTAATAGGAAAAGAAGGAGCAAACCACACCACAGCACACGCCCACCAACCACTAAGAGATGTCCGATTTATTTTTTTTAAAGAGCAAACCACACAAAAGCACCCGCCAGCCACCCGTCTCTTGCTGACATTTAGACTGTCAGACCACGTCATCCCACACTGTCTACATCGGGAAGGCAAACTAAGGAAGGTGTGACAAATAATAGAATGTAAGAGATATTGCACTACCCCAGAATTACAGAGTTCTATAATCTGCTCATTAGTACCTAGTTTTTGAGAAATTGGACGTCAAACATTTTGAGTTTCACAACATGTCAAGCTTTTTCGAATGCAATTCTTTGAGTATAATAGACCTACGAATGATCTTAAGATTTTGATAGAGCAGATAGAACATTTGGTTCCTGATCTCATGGTCTTACAGTAACTCAAAACAACTAAAACTATCAGATTGAACTTTGTAATCCTGAGTTAAAGATGTGGTTTATCTGCGCCCGATCGACCATTGTGTACCGCAGTAACAACAGCGCTTTAAAGGGGGGGGGGGGCATTTCGACCAAAAGTAGTGGCGTTAAACATTATTGCAGTGTGTGGGTGGGTGGATTGCTTCAAGTTGCCGCGTCGTTTACATTAAATAATTTTGCGGTGGTAAAGATTATGACTAACAAGCAATTATGGCGACAGCAAGCGAACAGACGGGACCATTTTCAAGAAATCACGGGGTCCAGCCTATAACCCGGTAGACTTTCAGCTAAACCATTTGTTCGACTGGTCCTGCGGAAGACCTTCAACTACACCGGCATCGATTTATCTGCACTTACTGGTCATTGGAATGAAAATAACAACGCCCACTTGCGCCGAGTTGGTTTGCGGTTTCTGTAAGGTAGTGTAGAGCCTTCTTCCACAAGCTCATAATATATTATGTGTATTCAATAACGTCTTAACTCTTGCGAATAAATCCATAAGGTACCATGAGTAAATACCGTCACAAACAAAGCCTCCTGCACACTAAAAACACATGTGACAAACACGCGCACAAACACATATACACACATGCATGCATATACATATGTACATACATATAACACATAATTGTATACTCAAAAATATTCGTACACATACTGACAATTAATACACCACACACAAACGCAGTCAAATAAGCGCCCACGGAGATTTGTACATAATCATTTTTTAAATTTTTATTGCATACATAAAGATTTTTACAAAAATCTAAATGTACACATACACACACGCATGAACACATATACGACCACGTATAAACGTCTCGAGTACAAAGGTAGTTTCTTGTCAAAGTAGGAACCCGTTATTATCATATTACATTATTTGTTTTCCTCCTTTTGATTCCACTACGGCTTTAGATCTATCACATGAACGCAACGCTACTTCATAACCTGGAATTATTTTCATTTTCAACCCCCCTC